TGTGCAGAATGCGTGTCAAATTGTATGGTGTCCAGTCGTTACGTGTCCAAAAGAGTCATCTCTTAAAACTCTAAAACCTTTGTATTTAATATTTTTTCTGTCTTTTATATTTTTGGTATTATTTAGGTTCTGATCTTTTTCCGCATCTTATCAAAATAGATTTGAGTTAGGTTATATCTTGCGGAAGTGAAACCCTCCCCATAAGGGGGACGGAATCCATTCGGTATCCACGCATGTATTTTGCAAGACGAAATAAAGTTCAACAAGAATCAAGGTTATAGATATAGAATAGATTTTGTTAATGACATTGTAGGACCATCGCCATGTTTTGGCGCTAGCGTATTTCCGTCGCCATGTTATGGCGCTAGTGCGCTATGTTATATGCATAGACCTTACAGATATGGACTGGCAATTGCCTATAGTTTCTGTAGAGAAGCAGTGTCCGGAGGAGGTTAGAGAGAGAAACATACTTTTTAGTACTTCTCTTTCTACAAGTGTCCGGAAGTATGCATTGCGCATGTCAGTTTTAAATAAGCTAGATTAAGTTTATAATATGATTTATCAAGAAATAAATTATTTGAAACAGTCAAACATTGTTTTTGTATACTAAAATAATAAATATATATTATTGAAGCAAAATTTTTTGGAAAAGTGGTTTTTCTAAACATTATTAATAACATTTTTTAATAAGATATAGAACATAACTTTTCTGTAGCGATTAAAATTGCATATTACATTTTTTTCGTCTTTATATTATATTTATTATATCTTATATTACCTTTTTAGATACTTTTTTCTTTTCCCAAGAAATAATAATGGAATTGCATTTGGTTGTAAAATTTTTCGAGATCTATTAGTCCATTGCAAATGAGATGAACTGAAGTGACGTGAACATACTCTGCTTTCTTTCGTGATTTCACTTATATTGCACACATCCATCCATAATTTTTTATATTTTTCATTTGTTGGGAAACTGAAATTTTTGATGTTTTTCTTTCTTGTACTGTTTATAGAATGTCACTTTATGACATTACGATTTGTTTCATTAATACTTACGAGTAAAAAGAAACACTATTTTTTGATGAATACGTTATATCACAAACAATACATCTTCGAACCATTATTGTTAATCTTTATTAAAATAATTAAATTAATATTAAATACAGAGACTTTCTGAGACTTCAGAGACACAACCTCAATATTATGTTCTCTCTGCAATAATACATATACACATACACATATACATCAATCAGAATGTTTTATTGTATAGTATATGTCAGGTGCATGCGCAAAACGTATTTCCGGACACTTGTAGAAAGAGAAGTACCAAAAAGATGTTTCTCTCTCTAACCTCCTCCGGACACAGTCTGATACGTATTGCCAGTCCATACTTATAAGGTCTATGGTTATATGACGTAGCGCAATGTGATTGGCTGCGGCGCGAGGTTGACGATTACGACCGGCAATTGAGAATCACGGCCAGCAGTTGTTTTTCACATCCGGCAGTTGTTGTTCACGTCTAGCCACGAGCCACGAGGACGGAGAGTTGCATTCTGACTGTGTACGCAGTAACACGTACGTTCCGTTCGTGCGATCTTTTCCTGTGGTTAATACACAGTCAGTTCTTGTCTTGTAGTTGACTGACCGTTTTTTTTTTGGCAGTGTAATCTTTACTGCGCGTTTTCGGCGTTTGACTACCGGCGTTCGGGCTAGTATTTACGGTTGCCGACCCTCGGTATTTGCTCACTCCAAGTGTATATTCCTTTAAGAATTATTAGTATTGCATCCCAAGTATCTCCTTGGTTTTTCTCTCATACTGTTTCCGCGAATCAAACCAATCCCTCAACCGGTTCGTCCATCTCCTGACCACGTGATCACAACGTTAACCACGATCATAAAAACGGACATCTTACAATATCTATTGTTTATTAATGATATTTATTGGTCATAGAATTTTTTAAATATTTTTTAAATATTTTCCGCTAAAAATACTATCAGAATTTACTTTTACATTATGGCGTTAAAGTTATGGGAATCGTGCCAAGGTATATTTCACACCACGGACATGGGTCAGGTTATATCTTTTGAAAATGGAGCCCCCTTGTGGCGAAATCCATTGTGTTTACGCATGTACTTTAGAAGATGATTAGAACGTATGTCGAATAAAAAAATAGCAAAGGGAAGATATGCATAACTCATATGTACTGTTAAACTATTTGATTGCGAAAAATGATCTTTCCGTACTAGTCGTACAAAATCCTTTTAAAGGCTTTTGTATTGATCAAAAAGGAAGGTTCTCATCAAGTTTCATCAAAATCGAAGATAAGCTATTTTCAGAACTTTATCTATATACAGGGTGTTTCATTTTAATCGCCCTACGCAAATATTTCGAAAAATATGAAAGATACGGAAAAATGTTTCAAACAAAAATTGTTTGGTTCGAAGGGAGACATAAGATGGTGTTATTGGTTTGACCTTGAGTGAACGTGCCAAGGTTATATGGAATACAATTTTGTTTTTTTTATCCCCTATTTTTCATTGCATATTCCTATAGCTTACCTCGAGAGTTTTCCAAAACACTATAATTAAATTATTTTTTATTAAATACTTTTCGAGTTATGACTTGAAATAATTTCTCACTTATTTGGTCAGTGAGAAATTTGGTCAGAGTGACGTTTCAAGGATCCTCCGTGGCAATCGGCATTGCATCCACTGAGCAAGATACGAACATCGCTCTGGAATCGTATATCATTGTGTTAAAAACCAGCATTAGGTGTAGATCTGGATAGCTCAGTGGTCTAGAACAATTGCTCGGGAAGCGAAAGACTCGAGTTCGATTCCCAATCCAGCCACTTGCATCTCACATATTTTTCTAATCCACGAATACTGTTTTTAGCAATTATTCGTGGGGGCTGAAAAATGTGTGAATTCTCTCTCCACAGGATATACGTTAATGCCGTTGCCACGGATGGATTCTGTCGCTCGTTGACCAAATGGACGTATAGACACATTTGATCTCCTCCCACATACATCCCTATTTTTTTTTGGACATAAACCGTAAAATATTCATTTTCGATTATCTTATCTATCTAGCAAAGAAAACACATAATTGTTTCGAAGAAAAAATATGTAATTTGCAATTAACAATTACATATTTTTTCTCAAAAACAACTATGTTTTTTCTTTACACTAATTGATTCCTCACATTATTTTGTGCATAAAAGTAATAAGATAAGATAATCGAAAAATGAATATTTTACTAGATATTTTATGGTTTATGTAAAATTAAGAAATTATTTCAAGCCTCATAACTCGAAAAGTACTTAATGAAAAATAACTTAATTATAGAGTGTTTTGGATAGCTCTCGAGGTAAGCTACAAGAATATGTAATGAAAAATAGAGGATTCCATTAAAAAAAAAAACAAAATTGAACTTCTAGTGACCTTGGCACGTTCACGCAAGATCAAACCAATAACACCATCTTATGTCCTTTTTTGAACCAAACAACTTTTGTCTAAAACGTTTTTCTTTCACATTTTTCGAAATATTGGCCTGGGGTGATTAAAATGAAATACCCTGCATATTATATATATCCATGTATACACAATACACACACACACACACACAATATATATATATATATATATATATATATATATATATATTGTATACTACTATATATATATATGTATATATATATATATATATATATATATATATATATATATATATACAGGGTAGCCCATAGCCCATTTTAATTTCCCCAGCCAAATATGTCGGAAAATAATGAAAAATAAAAAAAATGTTTCAGACAAAAGTTGTATGGCTTAAAGGGGGCCATCAGATAGTGGCAATAATTTGACCTTGGAGAGTCATTTGAAGATGACGTAAAGGTAATCTTCAATTTCTTAAATGGAACTCCCTATTTTTTATTACATATTCGTGTAGCTTATCTCGAGAGCTTTCCAAAACACTATAATAAAGTATTTCTTCATTGAGTACTTTTCGAGTTATGAGGCTTGAAATCATTTCTTAATTTTGTATAAACCGTAAAAGATCTAGTAAAATATTCATTTTTCGATTATCTTGCTTTAATACTTTTATGTACAAAATAATGAGAGGAATCAATTGGTGTAAAGAAAACACATAGTTATTTTTAAGAAAAAATATGTAATTTGCAATTAACAATTACATATTTTTTCTTTGAAACAACTATGTGTTTTTTTTACACCAATTGATTTCTCTCATTATTTTGTACATAAAAGTATTAAAGCAAGATAATCGAAAAATGAATATTTTACTAGATATTTTACGGTTTATACAAAATTAAGAAATGATTTCAAGCCTCATAACTCGAAAAGTACTCAATGAAGAAATACTTTATTATAGTGTTTTGGAAAGCTCTCGAGATAAGCTACACGAATATGTAATAAAAAATAGGGAATTCCATTTAAGAAATTGAAGGTTACCTTTACGTCATCTTCAAATGACTCTCCAAGGTCAAATCATTGCCACTATCTGATGGCCCCTTCAAGCCATATAACTTTTGTCTGAAAAATTTTTTTGATTTTTCATTATTTTCCGAAATATTTGGCTGGGGAAATTAAAATGGGCCACCCTATATATATATATATATATATATATATATATATATGTGTGTATGTATGTATGTATACAATATATGCGTGTACGCACGAGTATGTATAGAAAATTCATAGAAATTTTTATTATGGAATCTATTATAAAATAATTTTGCTATGAATTTTGTTAAAATGAATAATTAATTGACCTAGCTTTCACCGTGTGGTTGTCACCATCCGTTATTCGCAAATTAATTACAAAACGCTCACTTTCTTTTTATTAAAATAAATGATGGCTAATATTTTTGGAAAATTATTCAGCGTCTTTTTTGTAAAATTATTCAGAGTACTTTTTGGGATTTTATTGAATTTTTTAAATAATTCTTGATGTACTTAATAAAAATATTTGCGTGTTTCAGAATTTTTTCATGCAAAATTCGATGTGCAGAAGAAAGTAAACAAACTGATGGTATAGTTGTACGAAGAGGAGGTGCTGAAACTCTTGTGTTGCAATAATATTGTTTATCACTTATATTTTTACAAAACTAAAGTATTAGATTGAAGAAGTATATATATATATATATATATATATATATATAAGTATATAAGTATATATATATATATATATATATATATATATATATAAATGTAGAATAAAATAAAACAAAAATATATAGACTGTATGTACATTAAAAGTTATAGATAATTAATATTTGTGTTTTGTGTTCATATATATCCACTATGTATATTTTTTATCATCATTTATGAGACAAGATTTCTTTCGAGAATTAATAAAATCAAATCAAGAAATGACGTCATTCTTTTAACTGCCTGTTCAAGTTTACTATACTGACCTCTATCAGAGCTATTGGAGAGACTAAAGAGGAAAGTAAGCTGATGACCTCGAGTCAGTTACATCGTAGAGAGCGATGCAGCCTTACTTTATATGAAAGTATCGCGTTTTATTCCCACTTACATGATTCTATATAATTGTATTTAGTTTTATAAGTTACGAAAGATATACATTTTATTTAAAATAAATCCGGACCGAGGATTTATAAACACTTGTGATACAATCATGGCAGTGAAAAACCAATATTTCATCGTTTTAACGATTACATTGTCGCTATTCATTGGTAAGTTTTTCAATATTTGCTTATCTTTCAAAAACATTCTACAAATTACACGCATAAAATTATGTACTTGGAATTTCCTAAGTACATAAAATACAATGAAATTGTCATTTAATTGTTTTAGAAAAACATAATTATTTAAGATAATTATTTAAAACAATAAAATATAATAAATTAACGGTCATAAAATGCAATAATTCCAACATATAAATGTATATTTACGAAATATATATTTGAAAATCAATATAATTTGAATTGATTTTTTGATAATTTTTATGATAGATTATATAATTTAATAATAATAATAAACATGTTATATGCCATATAATAATAAACGCCCTTAAATAAAAATATGTTATGGGTATAGAACTAGAAAAAAAAATATATATATATAAGTATAAAAAATATATAAATAAATGTAGATACAGAAAAGTAAATTATTTAACAATAATAAATATAATTAATTTAATATACTTATATATTAATATATATATATATATATATATATATATATGTATTAATATATAGGTATAATAGTATATAATATATTATTATATATATTATTATAAAGGTAATAATATATATAATAAATAAATATATATATATATATGTATATATATATATATATATATATATATATCTTTTAATATATTTACATATATTATAAAATCAATGAAATTAATACAAATGTTAATAAAGAATGAAAATTTAGAAAGAAAGTTTTATATATATATAACGCATTATAATGACTTATCTTTCTCTATATGATATCTCAAATGACCATTATGACCCAATAAACAGATAAGTGGGATTAAAAATATAAACCAAGATTTATGTGGTAACATAATTTTCTTTTATTTTCATATTTCTTTTTAACATTCACATGTAATTTTCTCATATATTGTGCGATTTTAAAATTTTAATAATTTTAATTTGCTTTTTAGGAAACAGTGAAGCAGGATGGAAATTTTGGAAAAAAGAAACTACTACTACTATGAGTACTACTCTATCCGTAAATGTACAAAGTACTACAGCTTCAACAAAGCCTATAACAGACAAAAAACCAACGATGTCAATTGTAAATACTGAAGCTGCAAAAATAAATGCTGCTAATCCGGGATTAGACATTATAGAAACAACTAGAGAAAGTATACGAAATAATGTTCGATCTAATTCAAAGACGGAATTCGGTACAGATATTGATGTTTCAAGATCAAACAAACCGGGAATTAGTCATGGAGATAGTCAAAGTTATCGAAATTTAGCTACAGATTTTATCGCTAAAGAATCATCACAAAACCAACCATCAAAAATTCAAGGCTCAACAATTAATAATGTCGGTGAGACGCATGATCATTTATTTAACGCGTATTAAAATATATCATTAATGACATAGATAACATACATAGATAATATGAATTAAATGTAAAATAAGATCAATCATAATTAAAGAAATGTTATATAAGTTTCATGCAACGGATAGAAAAAAAAATTATTAAATTTTACCGGGATTATTTATTAATTTTTAAAAAAATTTAATGCTGTTCTTATATGTGTTTATTTGTATGTTATATAAACTAGAAACTAACAAAATAAAACAAAAATAATTATTTCATTACGGAAATTCCCCCGCTGAAAAAATGTATTGAAATTATTATTTTCATTACAAATAAAATTTGAATGCCATTAGCGTTAAAATTACTGAAAAAATAAATATAATCCTAATAAGTTATAATGCGTTGCTTTTCAATTTTCGTAAAATATAAAACTTCAAGATCTGTTAAATCATGCAATATGTTTATTTACATTATTGTTCTAAAAAAAAAATAAAATCCCAGATAGCAAAATGCTAGCAGTATGCCAGCAGTATAACAGCAGATTCAATCATGAATTTGCAGTAGATATCGCTCAGCTGTGTCCTCATTAAGTTTCTTTTTTCTCAACACGATATGTCAATATGATGTGATGGCAGAAATGCAGCAGAAATGAAGCACAATGTGCCGTCATGATATGACAGCAGAAATTGAGCAGGATCTGCGCGTGCAATTTGATGTTAGATTGTCAGCAGAAACCGAGCAGAATCTGCGCATGCAACCTGATGACAAATTGACAGCAGAAACTTCACAAGATTTGCGCTTACTTTTATTAATGTTATATAAATGCAACAAAATGGATTATTACAGATACTAAATAACAATATTATCGGCAAATTAATTAGAATTTCCTTAGAAAATGACATATATATATATAATATGTTATATCGTAGTTATATCTCATATAGCGAAGGACTAATTCAATTTAATTAAATTAATAATAAAGTAAATGATAAAAGTAAATGTAACTTGTAAAACTTGAGATGTAATTTATTTAGAATTAAATTCTTGCTTTATGCCTCAAATAGGCAATACATGAATAATTTTCAATTTATCATATTGAATTCAATTTATCATATTAGTCTTTCATTCATATTCGCGACTTTATATATATTTCTAACAGAAATTCAATTACGAGAAAGAACAGCTCATGTAAGTGAAGGAACTATCGAATCATGCAAACCCTGTTCCATTTCTGCCATCAATCTGCTATCAGAGATTGTGCGCAGATCCTGCTCGATTTCTGCCGACAATCTGTTGTCAAATTGCGTCGCACAGATCCTGTATTTTAAAAATTAAATGACATCGTATGATGACAGAGCATGCTGCATTGCTGCTGTGTTTTTGCTGTCATAGCGTGCTTGCACAAGTTTGATATTTCTGATGAGATTTTGCTATTACACTGTGACAACAGATTATGCGTACTCTCAGTATGCATTCTGCCAACACATTATTCCAGCATTGAATTGTTCTATTTATGCTGGTAAAACTCTGCTTTATTTCTGCTGCATTTCTATCATTACATCATAACGCACGTTATGCTCAACTTTGCTGTGTTTCTGACAACATTAACTAAACGGCATATTTTGCTAGAATATTGACAGCATTCTGCTGACATAGTATGCAGCACATAAATTGCAAAACATGCTCTATCCGATTTTGCTATCTGGGAATAAAATTTAATTTACTTTGCAGTTTCTACAACATCTTCCATCAGAGCAGATCAAAACAAGCCGAGTACACAACCAAGTGGAAAAACGTGGGCTGATATCGCTGCTATTGGCGTGGTTAAAGCTGATTCACCTACAAACCTTCCAAGACCGCCCGAATATCCTGTGCATCCTGCTTCAGGTATTTTTTTTACACAGGATAAATTTTTTTACAAAGAAAATAAATTTTTATATTAGCCCCTAAATATTAATATTAATAATTAATTGCGAAATAAATTTTTATATTAATTTATTATCTTTCTTCTGATGATTTTAACACGAATATTTGTTATCAAGATTATGATCTCATTACATGTTGTTATATGTTTAACATTGAAACAGAATTTTAAAATGTAACAATGAATGTAACAATATGAATTTACTTTTTACAAATAATCACCCAACAAACACCAAGTAATGGTTATAACAGTAACAGTTATGTAACAGGTAACAGTTATATTGTTGAATAGAAAATTATAACTAACTAGTTATATAACTATTACTTAGTGTTTGCTGAGATTTATTGAAATTTCCCGTTAGATTGCATGTGTTCAGATTTTGTTCAGTTTTTGTTTTGATAATTTGACATCAAACATATTAGCAAGCTTTGTTCGATTTTTGCTGTCAATTTGCTGTCAGGTTTTTGCCAGCAAGGTTTGCTCGGTTTTTGCCGCCAATTTGTCATTAAAATCTATAACACGTCGTCTACAATGGCAGTAGAATTAATGGATTAAATCTGTAGACTTAAGAAAATGACCAATCATAGTCAAGCATTAAGAAAATACTTGACTGTGATTGGTCAATTTATTGAGTTACAAGTTTGAATTCATTCATCCTACATTGTAGACGACGCTTAATAGCAATTCTTGTACGGCCTTTTTGCTGACAAATATAATATTTCCTTGACAAGTAGCAAGTCCGTGGCCAACTCTTCGCGTAGACTTAGCTGACTGAGTTGTCATAACATAACGGTAGAATTGCAACAGCAATAGAAGAGGGAATAATATTGCACAGACTGTCTCGAAAGTGACATAACTAATATGTAGCAAGATCAGTTGTTACAATCCGAATAAAAAAATATCTAATCTAACGTTTTCATTGCATCACTATATATAATTAAAAAGTAAATAATTAATAAAAATAGCTAATCAAGAATAATATTTAATAGGATGCAAAAAAGATAATAAGTCGCATGTACAGTATTGTATATAACTATTATTTCATTATATTCGCACCAAATTAAATGCATGTACTTTTCAATTAAATATTTATATATAAATATTCTCTCTCTCTCTCTCTCTCTCTCTCTCTCTCTCTCTCCCTCCCTCCCTCTCTCTCTCTCTCTCTCTCTCTCTCTCTCTCTCTCCATACGCATTTTTGTTATTGCTAGCTATATTTTATAGTCTTTCAATTTGCTTGTCATAAAAACTTATAAATACGAGATAGATATATTGTGTAAATCCGGTAAACAAAAAATTATATACCCACACCCACCCACCCACATACCCACATCCACCCACACTCACACACACACACACACACACACACACACACACACACACACACGCGCGCGTAATTTTATAACTTAATATATGATATAGATTTAATGCCTGTGTTTTTGCCTGTTTGTTTCATAATAACAAATCATGTCCCTTCTGTCTTCTTTGTTATCTTTTGAGAAGACAAAGTATATTCAATTTCTGTTGTATTTTTACCGTCATGCTATGCTTACAGATAAGTTCGATTTCTGATATTTTGCCACTATAGTATAATATCATATTATCCTTAATTATGATTTAGTTTTTGTTTACATATTGTACTAACAACTTAAACATTGTGAAACAATGTTTAAATTATTTTTATGTCAAAAATTAAGCCGAAATTTTATGAAAGAAGCCAACTGTTTGTAAGTTTGCTGTCATATTGTTAATAATTGTTGTAACAATTAATTTTGAAAAATTAGGGATAAGATGTGATAGCATTATGTTTATTGACTTAAATTCAAATAATTTCTAATTCTAAGAACGACAAATTGATAGCAATATATTATAACACTGGTCGCATATAAGAGATTTCACAGCAATTTGACAACAATTCGTGACGATTCATCACTCACGATTAATAATTTTTAGATATTGCGACAAATATTAAATTTTATATTTCAACATTATTCCATACTAATATATTTGATTGATTTTCGATAAAAGTTTTTCAATGATATTATTATATAAATATTAACTATAATATAATATAGTGACATTTAAATAACTCAATTCATAAAACTAAAGATTTTATTTAACGAAATATAGATTTCTTATTTTATATTTCAAACAAATGCGAAATAAAAACGATTTTTGCTTAATCATATACTTATCTATTTTTTAATAATTAGTAATTCATAATATTATAAAATAGTAAATAATTCAATATCTGGAATTTCTTGTGTTATGATTATATCAGAAATTGAAATGATAAGATAATATATAATATTTTTAATGTCACTAGTAATTGTCACTTATAATTATATTTTTAATGTTACTAGTAAGTGTCATTTATAATTCGCAGGATTTATATACTTTTATAAAAAAAAATTTGAATACAGAGTAGATGGTGCATAATGCGTTGCATAGCGTAAGCGAACGAACTTTGTAAATTAAATCTCGAGAGTGATACATACTGTCTCGTAAATATATAATAATTTCATATTTTTAATAATTTGTTGACAACGAACTACAATTTAAAAACTTTCCTTGAGGAAATATGCGCGACAATAAATGAAAATTATTATATTTGTGATATTGCCATTATAATGCCATTATGATATTCTAGTCGAAACGATAAACTATCAGTTGTTAATAGAATAAATATTAGTATCGCTGATCGTTTGCTCTCGAAATTTCAGTAATTGACTACTTGTCATAAGCATTCATATTGTTGCACTAAGTAACGCTCTTTTCCAATGTAGCAAATACACAACACACACACACATACGCACGCACACATATATGTATATGTATAGGGTGTTCGTTCTATCATTTGCTAAAAAAAAACCATAAGTAGATCTCATTAAAAACCATCCCACTGTAACTTGATATTTTAGGCGCGCGACGAAGCAATGGGTGGCGGATGAAGCGCTCTCCAAAACATGATAGCGGCGCGCGATGCTTCAGCGTTGCGTTAGTGAGTAAGGTTACAGTGGGACGAATTTTGTCGCCGCGCGTTTATACTCGCACGTATTGGCCGATCTTCTTTAATTAATATCTCGAAATTTTATGGGTTGTATTCAATGATATGACTTTTTAGTTCGATTTAGTTCGAGATTTACTTATGGTTTTTTTTGGCGGATGATAGAACGGACACTCTGTATATATAATAACACATACAATGCATCAGTTTATTCAATATGATTAATCATGTTTAATTATCTGAGTTTATATATTTTTTATATTGATATATATTTTTCTAATCAGGTGAAAATAGAGGTAGGACTACATCTGAAAGGTCTACGCAGCCTATTCAACTTAATCAAAATAAACATTCAACATCATCCAAAGACGTAAGGGCTAATGCTGTCGCAGAAGTTACCACCAAAGCAACCATAGGTGTTACTAGAATGTATTCCAGTAATCCGACGTATAGTAAAGGAAATATAGTTACTGATGAAGATTTAGAAAAGCTTTCTGAAGCACTTTATATAAAAGATATAAATAATGTAAACCAATATATAACAGTTAATCTGCAAAAACAAACCACTAGCAGTAATCTGATGGATCAAGCTTCGCAGCCGTAAGAGAATTATGTTTTTAACATAATAAAATATATTTATTTATTTAAAAAAATATTGGCAACCAATCAATATACAAGGTGTCCCTGAATGGTCTGTACAAACTTTGTAAATAAGTTCCAGGGACCTAAACAAGCAAAAAATGTCCCATAAATATGGAGTCGGAAACGCTTGCTTCTGGAGTTACGACGGTTCGAAGTTTTCCTGTAATAGCTGGAAAAATTATCACGTCAAATTGCATAGATGTTATAAAACTGTGTTTATTTATTTCCTCGGTTTTGCCACGGACGTAACAGGACAGTACACTTGCTAAAGAAACGGTTTCTTTAACCACCAAATAGCGTAAACCATGTAAATAAACCAGCTTGAACTTTAAACAGCGGAGCTCAGCGGAGGCCATTTCGAGCATTTGCTATAGCAAGTGTATTGTTCTGTTATGTCCGCAAAACCGAGGAAATAAATAAACACAGTTTTGTAACACCTATGCGATTTGACGTGATAATTTCTCCAGCTATTGCAGGAAAACTTTGAACCGTCGTAACTCCAGAAGCAAGTGTTTCCGACCCCATATTTATGGGACATTTTCTGCTTGTTTAGGTCCCTGAAACTTATTTACAAAGTTTGTACAGACCAGGGACACTCTGTATATTATGTTATATGAATTATTAGATATAAAATATCAATATTCTTTTCAAGTTATGTTTAAATTGATCAAACTATATATTCTTATAGGCTATTGGTAATAAATCCTGAAGCTTTTCAAATTTCTACGATTCAAAAAGTTCTCTCCATATATGACAATTATCAATTAGATACTCATACGAATGAATATATTAATCCATTACAAAGACAGGAAGAGAGTCTCCTTGTTGATACTTTTTTGAGTACAAACGTAATGTCAGCTGCTATGCGTTTTCTCGCAGATAAAGGATTTGTGAGACAGGATTATTATGAGTATAAAGATACATTAAGAAGAATTTGGTTCAATTTATTCTCGCGTGGGCAAGGTAAAATTGGCAGCACTGGATTTGAACACGTCTTTATGGCAGAAACGAAACAAGTAGATGCCGGTACAGAAGTACTTGGATTACATAATTGGATCTACTTTAATGCAGAAGAAATAAAGAAGCGTGTTGACTATCTAGGTTACATTAAAAAAATCGATTTAGGAAACGTAAGTAATTCTTTTACCAAATTTTTTAATAAATAGAATATTTATAGAATTCTTTACATTTTTAATAATTTCAATATAAAATCAATAATTTCAATATGAACGTGGGTGTGTCTTTTTTGTAGAAGGGATCCATTATTAAGATGCATGTAAAATTCAACGGTTACGATAAACCAGTCACGACTATGTTCATCGGTATCTCTCCCGAATTGGAAATGTCACTTTATACTGTTTGTTTCTATGCAAGACCGGATGGCAACTGTCCTGTATCTCTAGGAGGCACTAAGTTTAATATAATAACACACAAATTTAGATATAGAGGAAAAGATTTGATTGGAACAGCATATCCGGAAATTTGAACTCTTTCTATGTAAATATATTTATTTTACATATATCTGTTTAATAACGGTCGGCATAACTTCTAGTTAGTAAAAATTATACTTTAGATTCTTGCATAAGCCAGTAGATATTTTACTCCTTGATGCTTTGCAACGAAAAATTCAATTATCGTTATAGTTTTGTCAGAACAAAACATAGACATTATGAGTATTGCATACGTGTCGCACTTTGAAATTGTGTTCCTTTGCGAACATCCGAAAGAATTGAAAATTTAAAATCTGCTGCTAAGTATATGAAAAAATCAAAATCTTTTATCCAAATGTGGTTGCAGTGATATAAAGAAGCAAAAACAATAAATAATTTACCGGAACGTAACTCAATACAAAAATTTATAAAAAAAATGATAAACAGATAGTGAATTATACATGTTTATAAACACTTTGAATGCGGGAAAGATGCTGCAATTTTTTAAAAAAGCTTTGTTACTATCTATCAAATTGATTTATTGAAAAGAATGAAAAATGGGTCAAGAGGATTATCTTCAACAAACATCGGAGCAGGTTCTGTATTGATTGAAAGGAGTGACCTGACATTGATCAATTGGATTGGCCGTCACAATCATTCGATACTTACATTGTAGTTAGTGGTTGTTATTATGAGCAATTATTGTAGCCATCTGTTTTGACATTGCTAAACATTTTTGTAGTGTAATGTAACCAAATAAAGTTATTATGAAAATTATTCCTAATACTGAATATATGGAACTGCCTATTTTTTATTACATATTCTTGTAGTTTATCTCGAGAGCTTTCCACTATAATTAAGTTAGTCTTCATTAAGTATTTTCCGAGTTATGAAATCGTTTCTTAATTTTACATAAACCGTAAAATATCTTGCAAAATATTCATTTTTTGATTATCTTATCTTAATACTTTTATGCACAAAATAATGTGAGAAATCGATTGGTGTAAAGAAAACACATAATTGTTTTGGAGAAAAAATATGTAATTTGCAATTAAATATGTAATTAACAATTACATATTTTTTCTCAAAAATAACTTTGTTTTTTCTTTACATCAATTGATTTCTTACATTATTTTGTGCATAAAAGTATTAAGATAATAGAAAAATGAATATTTTACAAGATATTTTATGGTGTATGTAAAATTAAGAAATTATTTCAAGCCTCATAACTCGAAAAGTATTTAATAAAAAAATACTTCATTATAGTGTTGTGGAAAGTTAGGTGTATTCGACGTGTATACATAAATGTGTGTATGTATGTGCGTATGTTTTTAAATTTAGCGCGGCGTCTCCTGACTGCTCTTGTAAAATATAGAATTAATAATAATTACAATATTACGCTAAATATGTAAAAAGAGTCAATTGAAATAAGAATAAATTGAAATAATAATAATTACTTCTCATATATATGTATAATTTTTTAAATGTAGTATTTAATAATAGTTTGAAGTTAATTGTATTAATATTTAGAAATAGGTATTATTTCAAACTTTTCTAAGCTTATGTTTTTATTATTAAATATTAAATATTTGTGAAATATTTTTTTTATTACTTAATATTTTTGTTTTATTTTATTTATTTATTTTTTATTTTGAATTTTTATTTGTTGTTTTTTATTAAACTTATTTTTTTTACTTTTTATTTTATTACTTATTATTAAACTTTTTTTATTTGTTAAACTTTTTTTATAATGATTTAAATGTTGTACTTTTGTTGGTAGCAGTTGGAAGTATTTTTTTTTCAAACAAGTTATTACTTGTAGTAAGTATTATTGTAAGTATTATTTTTTCAAACAATTTAATTATCTATTTCATGATGAAAAATTGAATACGAATTTGCTAAGATTAGTTTTGCTGCATAACAGCAAACTAAGAAAACGTTATGTATAGTAACGTATATAACAATTTTATATTGTAATAATATATATATATATATATATATATATATATATATAATATATATATATATATATATATATATATATATACATTTTATTATATTATTATTGTAATGTTGTAAAATAATACATATGATACATTAGAGTTTTATATCATATAGACAACTTATGTTATATTATTTGTTATTTCTTCATATATTTTCATTATATTACTGAATTTAGAAAATTTATCCATTTCGATTAAGTCAAATTGTCGACAGAACTGTAATAGAGCTTGTTGACATAATTTGATAGTAGATTGACAATGGAAATTGAACAGGAGTTATAGCTATTTTTCTAGTTCCTGCTTGGTTTTTGTTGTCAACCCATCATCAGATTGCATGTAGATGTTTCTCGGATTTTGACACCAATTGATTATCAGGTTTTGTAGAGTAGATGAATAAGTTCTGACAAAAGATCATAAGTTTCCCTACTTTACGGGCACAGTTATTATGGACAGTTAATACTAATTTGTTAGCAACTTCTAAATAAACTTATTGTCAATCTGTTGACATATTATACGCATGCTGACATTTACTTATTGAAATTAATATTTATTTGTAATAGAAATGAAAACATCAAAATAATATAGGCAGAAATGAGTTCTACATATCTTTCAAAAGATAACTAAAGTAACGGAATAGATAAACGAATTGTAAACAGATAAGAAATGCAATAAGTAAAAAGAGTAAGATGTATAGTAACATAAGAGGAAGGGAGAAATCTAATCTTACGCGAGCCATTAAGTCGGACGTAAACTCACGCTTGTAGTCTAACCAAAGATTGCTGTGAGGAAACTGCGTTAAAAATGTACGCAATCGAAAGATTTATACTGAACAAACAAAGATCACGTTTTCAATTAAAATGGTCAAGCTATTATATCAATGTTAAATTATATCATAACGAAAACGATATTTATGGATATAAACCGAATCAACGGAGACATTTTGAAGGTATTTTATTCCTATCAGAATATCGAGAATAATATGGATCTGTTTCATTATTAAATATAATGTAAATATTTAATATATATATATATATATATATATATATATATATATATAAAGCTCGATCACGATATTATAGAAGATAATATTAAGATTAGAAAATAAAAATAGATAGTATAAAGTTTAATTAAATTAATATTCATCAAATATCAATAAATAAAATATACAAATTCTTGTGCTATAACATTTTACATTCTAAATTTTTTTTTATTTTAAAAATATATTTGTAATAAATGAAGCATAATGTTTTGTAGTTAGATTTATTTAATGATATATTTGTGGAATATATTTATGTGTACAGAATGTAACTTGTAACATACATATATGTATATAGAGCACATTATTAGACAAGACAACAATCCAATTTAAATCGAAAAAAGCCAATTTTTTTTATTTGAGCTTTCTTTTCATTTTTATGATGTTAAAGTTAGCTAATCAGCGCCTGTCTATAGCTTGTCTATAGACAGATTGTCTCGCTACTCTTCGATCCTTCGTTTTCTCTGCTTTTCACTATATAGACAGGCGCTGATTAACTAATATGTTCTATCATGTTTTTTCAATTACATATATTTGAATATAATTATATATAAAGAATGCATTATTTTGAAATATTATTCTAAGAATCAATAACACGAAGAAATTAATAATGAATGATTTATACATAATAAAAATTTACAACTTTTTTATTTGACTTTTTTATTTGTTTATATAAAATTCATAATATAAATTCATAATATAATTGCTATTTGATTTTTTTTCAGTATCAAAGGAATATTTACATAATCGAGCAAAACAGAGTAATTTTTATAGATTAGTCACCGCGTATAGAATTCATGGACATAAACAAGCCGATATAAATCCAATTTCAATGAGCAAGCCATTTTTATTGCCTGAATTGGAACCGAAAAATTTTAGACTGAATTTAATGGATAAAGTCTGTTTTCGAGGGATCTTATTTACACAACAAGACAAAGGAACAGTAGAAGAAGCCATTCGATTTTTAAACACTACCTACTGTGGTCCTGTTGGAACTGAATTTAACTATCTTGAGGTAATTTTCAAGTTTAAAAGGATTCCACATGTGCAAAAATTTTGAAAACTTGTTTTTAAAAATTGTGATCAAACTAAAAATGCATTTAAAATCGATTAAAAAGATAATCTTCTTCTGCTATAATATTATTGCTTATTATAATAAATTTTTATAAAATAATTTGGCAAAAAAGTCTATCTATCTATGCAAATCTAGCATCCATCTCTTGTATAAAATTAATTTTTTTTAATACGGAAAACAACATTTCATTTGTAATTGTTTGTAGTAATAATAATGTAATGTAGTTTCCTAGTAATTTCATTTGTAAATTTATCCATTAAAAAACACAAAAGTTTTAAAAACTGATTCGTATTTGAAATTGAGATATGTTAAATCTGCTTGCGTAATCTTCTTTAGAATCATTTGTAATGTTTTTCGTTTCGTTTGTAATTGAATTGTTCAAAAGTTATAAACATTTAAACAAATGGCCCTTTGTTAAAATACCTCAAATCCTCTCGCGCGATTCTCTTTAAGATTGTTTGTTGTAGTTAGTTGTTGTTTCCATTTTTTTCGATTGCAGTTGCAAAGAAATTAATTATAAATGATGTACTCGCTTTAAGATTGTTTGTATTTGTTTATATTAACACTAATTTTGATCGTAATTATTACAAATATAAGCGATTTCAAAGCTGGAATTCGCAGCAGATTGATTCCATGTTAAGAAATTAAGAAATTATAATCAAGAAATTATAATCAAAATCAATGCTATTACAAACAATTTTAAAAAGCAAGCATATCTCAATTTCGAGTCATTTTTAATGGATAAAATTATAAATGAAACTATTATTACTTCAAACAATTATTATTACAAACAAAATATTATCATTATCCATATTAAGGAACAAATTTTTTAAAAGTCAAATGCTAGGTTCATATAAGTAAAAAAGATAGATATGTAATCAAATATTTTATATATATATATATATATATATATATATATATATATACAGGGTGTACCACCTAGAAGTGGCCACCCCCCTTTATCCTTTAAACTGAAAGAGATAGAAAATATATATGATAACAAATATATATGAAATTAAATGGCTTTAACTGAACTTTATTGTGAGCACCTTTATTGTGAGCACAGTGGTTGATTACAAAATTTATCTGTATTAAAAAACGGAGAGATATGTATAATTTTTTTATAATAACCCAGACAGCACACATGTCCAAAAGACATCTAAAAGACTACTTAAAGACGTCTTAAAGTCCTTTAGACGTCTTTAAGACGTCTTTTGGCCTTTTTGTGCTGTATGGGAATGTAGATATTTGTAGAAGAAACTTGTTATTTTTATTACTATACATATGAAAAAAATATATAATATTTTAAAAATTTAAATAACATTATAAGAAAGGGATAAAAATTTGTTTGCGCGCATGAACTAATGGTATACATTTTCAAAGTGTTGTCCATCAAGATCGACACAAAATTGCAACCACTTTCGACAACTTTGGAATACATTATTAAATATGTTTATAGAAATGTTTCGAGTGCATTTTTGATTGTTATCTATCAATTCTTCAATGAGAGGAACGGCAAATGATATATTCGAATCTTTTTCTCCAAACCGGTAATTTTGTTTGTTAATATACTCATTGAATTAAAAATGAGCTTCATCTGTAAAAATCTGTAAAAATCTGATATCTTTCTCATTGAGTTTCTTATTTTCAAATATTTCAATTATCACATTGCAAAATTGAACTCGTTTTTATGAGGATGTAATTTAATAACGATTTTTCACAATCTTTCGGAGAGTTTCTCGCTTTAAATTCATGACCTGAACATAACAGCTTTACGAATAAAGAAATTTGGATTTTCTTTGAAGTAGTCTCTGAAATATTCTCATCATTAACTATTTCGTCCGTTGTAACGATACAAGATGAGTCGAGTAAATCATGTCTACGATCTTTGAAAGTACCATACATTCGAAAATTATCCTGCGAAAAAATATTGAAAAATAAATAAAATTTCAGATTATTAACATAATGTGTAGGATAAATTAGATTATAGGGAGATTTTAGGGAGAAAACATATCTTCTGAGTATAATTTTACTTTACATTTTTAGATTCATACAGAAATTTGATACAGAATCCACAACACGCCCCAGTACAGATTTTGCCTCTATTGTAGAAGCATTCGATGAAAAATACTTTTTCTTCGATTTTTAACGCATTCATCGTGACGTTTAAATTGGCTTCTACAATGGCATAAATGAAAATGACAGGTCTCAGATACCGGACACTAATTGATTAAATGATCGCCGAAATTAAGGAGAGAAAATATAATCGTTCATTTTTAATACGACCAATGGTCACTCTGTGTATATAATATATTATCAATTCTTCTTTTTACTTTTTCTGTACATAGAAATCTCAATAGAAATTTTTCAAGAGAAAGAAAACATGCATATTTCATGCATAATTATATATTAATAATTAGGAATTTGATTCAAATAAATAAATAAAAATAAGGCTAAACCCAGATAGCACACAATATTCTATGAATATTCTTATAAAGTACAAATGTTCTTAATTTTAGAATATTCGAATTGAATATTATATGAATATACGTAGAATGTTAAAATCGTAAATAATATATTTCTAATAGAGAAGAATATTCTTAGAATATTGGTTGAATTTATTCATTGCACATTTTATTGCGCATGTGCAGTATAGATGAAATTCGAATTAAATTAAGTGTAAAAGAACCCTTAAGACCATACGCACTACGAACAAGCCTTTAAGCGGCCATATTCGTGAGCGGTTTCGTCTTTTGTCGTCATGTGCGTCGTTAAGTGTTTGACCATGTTTGCCATGTACTTTACATGAAATGATAGCGTTTTAACTAGAGGTAATTATCTTTTTTCTTTTATTAATTTTATTTTATCAAAAATTAAATAAAACTTAAGAATATTTTTCCATATATTTTTAGTAATTTTTTTTACATTCTTTTAACAGTTCAAGATAAATATATTTCAGTACATTTAAGGTTATGCTTGAAGAAAATCACACAAAATGCATACTCAGCAAACACCGAATAACAATTATATAACTTACTTGTTTGCTGGGTATATTGTATATATTTATTTTCTTATTTTTCATGTAAAATTCTCTTTCTTACAGTGTTCAAGCTATATTCTAATAATATTACGCACTACGAACAAGCCTTTAAGCGGTCATATTCGGAGGAACATCCTACAAACAGATGGTGAAACGCGTGTTAACAAGAATACTATCTAATGATTTGTCTAAGACTTATAGTTGGATAGGTTTTAAAGGAAAACGTAACTTTTCTAATCTTCGAATTTGCTCAGCAATATTATCTGCTGTACAAAAAACGCATGGCTGCTCAGAAGCGATGATAGAGGCTGTAATAAAATATTGGTTTGTAAAATCTATCGAACGACAGAAACAGTCAACAAAAGAAAAAAATTCGTAAGATTTACAAGTACAAAAAAATTTTATTTTGAATGCATATTCCCAAGTAAAAGATAATTTTATTTTAAGTGCAACTTAAGTGCAATTTTATTTTGAATGCATATTCGCAAGTAAAAGATAATTTTATTTTAAGTGCAACTTAAGTGCAATGTTAAGTACAAAAGATAAAAAATCATTTATTTGACATTTTTAAAAATAATTATTGTTTATTTCTAAAACACTTCAAGTTTTTAGAAATAAACAATAATCATTTTTTTCTAGTTTTCTCTTTTGTTGGAATGTATAATTATTTTTATGAATTGTTTTTTTTAAAGTCAAGTTTAAGATTCATATGTATACTTAAATATTAGACACTTAGACATAATCTTCGGTAATCTTCGGTAATTCTGTTTTGTTAAAAAATTTTGATTTTATGAATTTTAGTATTAAATTCAAAAGTATTATTTCCATTATAAATATAATATATTTTATATTTACATGATATTTATATAAATATTAATAAATATGTGTATATGTTGTTTCATAAAAATATGTGTAAAAACTTTTAAAAATTATTTTTTAAAATAAAAAAATGAACTTAAAATTACTTTATGTATTTATTAATTACGTAATGTAAACTTCTGTAACATATATAATCAAATAATCAGTTCTAAAAAACATGAAATTGTTTATTTTCAAAAGGACAGTTAAATTCTTTTTTATAAGAACAAAAATTACTTAAAATACAAAAGAAATTGATAATGTGGAAGTGTTAAGATTAAAAAACAGATAATATCCGTTAATAGAAAAAATTAATACTTTAACATTTTCAACTTATATTATTTTCTACTTAATTTTTTGTTTTTTTTTGTAAAAAGGTGAAATTTAGCTATTTTTGAAAATAATAATTTATGTTTATGAAGAGACTTTATTTTATTTTAATGTAAATACATAAATCCATATTCTGAATCCTCTTTTATCGATAAAAGTGCTTCTAAAAGTGGCTTATAAGACTTTTCATTGACTATAAGCCACTTTTAGAAGCACTTTTATCAATAAAAGAGAACTCAGAATCTGGGCTATAGAATGAGTATAGAATATTCTGTGTAATATATTACGCACATTTATAGAACATTCTATTAGGACATATATGGAATATTCTATGAATATACATAAAATGTTACATAGAATATTCGATAGATTATTCTAGTCACATTCGAAAAACATTTAAAGTAGTGCCATTCGAATATACTGTAAACATACTATAAATATATAAGAATGTCTTATAGAATATTCGAAACATTCTTAAAGAATATTCATAGGACGTTCATAGAAATGTTTAGTGCTATCTGGGAACTTCCGAAAACGACCCACGCTCGATTGCAATGAATTTTTGTAGAAACACTATAAATGATGTCAAATAAATGTCCTTAAAGGATTTTTACCGACTTTTGCTAAAAACATTTAAATAAGGGGGGCGGAATCCACTGTGTCCGCGTATACATTTTTCCACGCGAAGCGAAGTTCCACATAGGTTTATAACTTTCCACGCGAAGCGAGGTGCATCTTGAACCTATGCGTCTAGATTTTTGATAGTGGAGCCCTCTGCAAGGAGACGAAACCTACTGCGTCCACGCATACGTATATACTTTTTCACACGAAGCAAGTCTCACATACGTTATCAAGATCATCACTCTTAGTAATGTTGTGAAGGTTTAGTTGGCGGTCATTGTTTATTAAAAAGATATAAACAAAATAAGTTCATTAATACCGATATTTATCGAAAGAAAAGTTAATTGTTGCATAATTTTACATAGATTTGTAACTTTCTATGCGAAGTGAAGTGTATCCCGCATTACAAACACGGGTTGGATTTGATTATATTATCTTCTAAAAGTGAAGCCCCCCGTAAGGGGATGGAACATACTATACCTATGCATGTACTTCCTAAGATGAAGCAAAATGTATTCTTAATGAAGGTCAAGATTAAAAGTGAACTTTGCTTCATCTTGGAAAGTACATGCGTGGACAGTGTGTTCCACCCTTCCTGCGGGAGGTTCCACTTTCAGAAAATATAATTTAATCCAATCCATGTTTGTGATGCGGGATATACTTCACTTTGCATAAGACGCGTTTTCGTTTCGTTACCACGAGCGACCAGAAGCAAACAAGACCGTTTTCGTTTCTGGTTGTGACGTCATCGATGCAATCACGTGAGCCGTGGTAGCTGCTACCGCGCTGCCATGGTCTCGAGGATGATAATGCGGTTGTGATAGGTTGTTTGGCGCGAAGTGCGAAAAGAGAATGCTTGTAAACAAGTTGTCGAAAAGCAAAAATGAATAACGTAACCGTACTCACCTTGAACAAACACCTCCTCCTAGTGCGTGCTGATGGTGGCGTGCATTCTGTTGATGGCCAAATGTTCTTCCATCATGTTTCAAGTAAGTATACCTGCATTGTGAGTTCTGTAAGGATTATGTTAATCAATTAAATTTATCTTTCGAAACATATCTACGTTTTTGTGTCATAGTCAATGTTTCGAAATGGAATCTTAGCTGAGAGCTAATTCTATTAATATAATAGGTCCAATTTTGTTTTAATTAGACGTTTTAATCTTTTTTAGACTGAAATACTGGTACTTCTTGAATCTATTTAATGCATCTTTGTGATCTGTTTCTATTTTTTTTCTCAGGTGGATCATTTATCTCTCTTCCTGTAGATGATCATATAATTCAAAAATTTAAGTCTGCTAATTCCTGTGAGTTTTTTACGATGACAGAGGACGATGGGAGAGGACTCCAATATCACAGAGAATTTCTCTAGCGAAAGCTCTGAAACACATGTTATCTCACCTCTGTCGAGAGAAACCAGAAGCAACGAAGAGATTTGGGTCAAAAATAATAGACCATCACCACTGGATACCACAGCCACACATGACCTGAATGAAATTGTTGGACGTAAGGACATTCAAATGGTACTGAATGATAAGAAAACTGTGAAGAAGAAGATTTGGGAGAAAATTGGTGCAGAACTCAAAGAAAAATACAATTTTGGAATAAGGGATGAAGGATCTGTTTCACGCTCACAGAAGTGGTGCAACCTTGAAAATGCTGTGATGAACTTTTTACAAAATGCTGATGCTAGCAGTTCTGGTAACGAAAAAGTGAAAAAACCAGCATTTTATGATGAGGTATTTGACATCATTAAAGGGAAACACAAAGCAAAATCAAAACGTTTGCTTGATTCATGGTCTCTTTCTGAACAGGCGTCACCTACACCCACTACCTCCAAAGAGCAACCAGCCACGACTTCGAATGCTACAAATTCTGCAAGACAATCAGCTACCAATGCAAGGGTTTGTGAATCTGAAAATGCATCATCAGATGAAGACGACTTCAATGAAAGTCCATTCAATCATGTGAAATCATCCACCAAACCAAAGAAACCTAGAGTTGACAACAGCTGCATCCTAAATTTTTTGAAAAATGAAGCTGAGGAACGTCGCAAGCAAAATGAAAGTTTGATGAAACTGATGCAAGATTCCAATGACACTAAAAAGGTTTTCCTGAGTATAATTATCAAGATGATGAGCTCAACCACAAGCTCAAATAAAATTTGAGCTAATTAAAATTGTGACTTACAAGTAGGCAGCTAACACAGGTACTCTTTCCTTATAATTTACATATGTCATTGGTTAACACAAGCATTAAATATGTGATTTCTTCTATATGTGATCAATAATTGTTACATTTTTGTTTTATGTTATCTTTCCATGAGAATATCCCAAGTAATAAAAAAATATTTATATAGGTTTTTATTTACAATTTTTTATTTATAAGTAAATAAAAAATATTTATTTTATTATTATAATATTTTATTAATGAAATATTAATAAAATAAATATTTAATACACGTTAAATAAATATTTATATTACATTAAACATTAAAATAAACGTTTTTTTAATGAATAAAAAGTAATTTAACTAATTATTTTAACGTTTTTAAGATATCTTTGAAAATGAGTTTAAAACATTTTTTATAAATTTTTTTACACTACTTGGGATGTCTCTTTTTATAATTTATGTTAGTACAGAGGATTGCTTAGCATTAGTGTTATCATTCCATTTAAACATGACTACCTCACTTTTCATGTACTTATACTGAAATGCCAAAGTATTACATTATTTTACTTTAAGTTAAATTATTACAACTATATTACTATTTTATTTATACTATTATTTACTTTAAGTTAAGGGATATTACAGAAAGGTTCCAGTATGATATTATGTACTTACTTGTCATTGCCAAAGTGCCTTAGTCATTTCACAGTGTGAGAAACTGCAGAAAGTCCAGATTTGTATAATATATCGTAGTTTTATTTACGTTAATATTCGTTAATTATTTCGGCAAAGAGCCGAATTCGCTATATCTGAGTACCTTTTTATTTTGAGTTTCTATCTTTGTTACAAAATATGTATAAGACAATGTTATTCTTTTTTTTTCATATTTTCTGTATATATTATTTAGTGTAGTTCTGTCGAAGTAACATTTGATTTTGCAAATATGTACTTTGAGATATAAATGAGAAATAAATGTCAAAGACAATATTTGTTGAATTGTTTTATTTCAGATACCTAGTTCTCATTTATTTATCAATAAAAGAAATCTTTCTAAAAGAGAACCAGAACAGGCATACAATTCTGTTGCGTTTTTCTGCGCCTTGTATTTTGCTGGCTTCGTCTGCATAATTCTTGAGAACATGTTGCTTAGCCATGTGTCTTTTATCTCCAATCATTTTCTGAATCATCTCATCGTTGTGCAGATAACAAAAATTGTGCAAAACACAGATGGCCAGTACAATGTCACTAACTTTGGCAATCTCTGTGTTAACTTTCATTAAGCGCTTCCATCTGCCCTTCATAAGAAACGTGTGCTCTATTACAATACGGGTTGAACTGTGATGATAGTTGTACGTTTTCTGTCTTGGAGTAAGGTTTCCAAAATCCCTGTTCAAAGGCAGCATTAAGATGCTGTTCACATGACGGAACATAACAGCACATATTTAAATGCAAAAAAGTTGCAACTTACTTGAAAAGTGCCATGCACCATATTCTGTTAGGATAGGCCTTATCACCTATCAAATGATAATTCTCATTAAAGAACATGGATTCTACTCTATCTAGCATTATCGTCCGGTAGACGCTGGAGTATTTTAGAACCCGAGTATCATTACAAGAACCAGATGTTCCAATAGATACATTTGTAACTATTTTTGTTGCAGTACAAATTCCTACAAAATAAAAAGCTAATCTTATCATGAGAGAGTTATGATATTAACGGCAAAAATATACTGTTTTGCTTAATCATAAAATCCCACCTTGAAGTGTAATAGAATAGTTGCACGTGCGATCTATGTAGCTAGATTGCTGGTTTGCTGGAGATAGGACTTCAATGTGGCAACCATCGATGGCTCCTATGACACCTGACAAAAGACAATAAGATATGACAAAGTTCCTGCATGAGAGGCATTGTCTTAAAAAAAAGTTTAAAAGTGACATAGCCAAGCCATACAAAGTGCTCACCAGGAAATCCCGCACGTGCCTCAAATTGCCTGCTCAGCACTACACACTCGCTCTCTTTAGGCCAAACAATAAATGTATTGCTAAGATCACACAATATATGAATAATAGTTCTAGCCTCCTTGAAAACTGTGCTTTGAGCCACAGCAAATCGATCGCCTATATCAGACAAGGGCACATGCTTCTCCAGATAACACAATGTCATCAAGACAGCTTTCTCAACTGTCATTAGAGGTGCATCACCTCTTTGGCACTTAACAGGGCAGTAAGGTCGGACAATGTCGACAAGGGCCCAATATGTGCTTTTCATCATCCTGTACAAGCAAGAGACAAATTTGGACAGGGAATCCGCTTAACAATCTACTTAAGAAGTCAATGAATGTCAAAAAAAAATAACATTGACAACATGATAAATAAGAAATGTAGCAACGAAGCTGCTTTATGCTTCCTTACCTAAATTGTTTATGAAAATCTTGATCAATGTAACGGGTCACCCACTCTTCATTAGCAATTATTCCTATTTTGAAATGAGTTCTTCTATCCTTCAAAAGGGAAAGGACAACCCTGCTTGTGGGTTGCAATTGACAAATATTCACAATGTGTGATAAATCGTCATCAATTACTTCCATTATACAATACAATAACACAGATAACCTCACATTTGGATCCAGTTTGATCATGATACGTGAAGCAACAAACTGCTAACGCGTTTACGCATTACCTGCTCGAAACGTTTTTTTTCTCGGTTACTATTTGTGACGTCATATCATCAAACACGAGCCAACCGCTTGTAGCGAGGTAGCAGCAATGAAAACTCACCTATAGAAAGTTACAAATGTAACATTTTTCGCACACAAATAGTTCAATAACTTATTATATTTTGTTGTTAAAGCGAGAAACTCGTAGAACTTCATGTTAACTTTACTACAATCTGTCTTGTATTAACTCCTTTTCTTAAATATTTTCAAAGTCATAAGAAATATCAAAAACTTAGAAGTCTATCATTGTTCCACTATCTGAATTCAATATAAAAAAGGTAAACAACGTTAAACGACGACACAGTTTGTACACGAAGTCATAAAATTACATATTATTTATTAGACTTTTTTTAGTTTATAACTTTTTAATAAACAGTGATTGCCGACTGAAACCTTCATAACATTACTCAGAGTTGTGATCTTGATAACATATGTGAGAAATCGGAAGGTGCGTATAAGTAAATAATTCCCAAATATTTTTAGCATTAAATGTATCGGTAAAAATCCGCTTAAGGACATTCTTTTGACATCATTTACAATATTTCTACAAAAATTCGTAACAATCGAGCGTGGGTCGTTTTTGGAAGTTTATAAAATAAAATCAAAATTGACATAAGAGACACAGCGAGGTAGTAAGGGCACAGGGGAAGAAACAACACTTCCTTCTTATTGATTTTTGTTTATTTAAATTTAAACACTACATAAATAACAAATGTTTCGGATCGTTTTCGATCCTTCGTCTGCGCGATTAATAATATAAAAAACAAACTATTGCATTGTAAAAAAGAGAGAATAATTATATCTCCTCTTCACGTGGGTGATGCGAAACTGCATTGCGCGGAGATCTAGCAAGCCTGCTGCTTCTAAAAGTTCATCAAATGTATTAAAATTTGCTATGTAGAATCGCAGCAGATCTAACAAATCGAGTAAAAAATGTCCGATATTATATAAATTCTTTTTAATGTTTAAAATTGATCATTGGAAGCATAACGAACGAAACATGACTCACTAGATTCCTTGCTTTTTCTTTAAAAAAAAAAAAAAAAAAAAAAAAACGGAAAAGAAAAAACGTGAAATCTGATAAGTCATGTTTCCAATGATCAATTTTAAACAAGAATTTACATAGAATATCGGCATTTAATTTTTTACTCGATTTATTAGATCTGCTGTGATTCTAAACGGCAAATTTTAATACATTTGATGAACTTTTGGAAGCAGCAGGCTTACTAGATCTCCGCGTGATGCAGTTTCGCGTCACTCGCGCGTCGAGGAGAAGATTTATAATGCAATTGTTTGTTTTTATATTATTAATCGCGCTGAGGAAAAATCGAAGATGATCAGAAACATTCGTTATTTATACAGTATTTAGATTTGAAATAAACAACAATCAATAAGAAGGAAGTGTTGTTTTTTTCCTTGCGCTCCTACTGCGCTGTGGCTCTTATGCTAATTTTGATTTAATTTTTATAATTATATATATATATATATATATATATATAATTATAAAAATTAAATATATATATAAAAATTAAATATATATATATATAAGGGTGTCTGTCAATTTTCGACCTTGACGAAATAAGGAAGTAGATTGGCTCAAATTAAGAAGGAATGACCTGTATTGTTTTGTGATTGTCGCAATAATTAATGAAAAATTAAATAAAGAAGATCGGCCAATCTGCGTGAGTATATACAGGATGTCCGTCAATTTTCGACCTGAATGAAAAAAAGAAGTAGATTGGCTCAAATTAAGAAGGAATGACCTGTATTGTTTTGGGATTGTCGCAATAATTAACGAAATATTAAATAAAAAAGATCGGTCAATCTGCGTGAGTAAAAGCGCGCGGCGACGAGAGTCGTCCCACCGTAATCCGATACTACGAGCGCGGCGAAGCGGTGGGCGGGTCGCTCTCCGAGACATGATGGTGGTTTGCGATATATCGCAATACCGCGCCGAAAAATGACCCGTCCCCCCTTTTCGTGGCGAGAAAATGATGCGCTATCATTTCCACACCACCTTGCGGTAGATAGCATGGTGCGCTTTTTTTATAGTGGTTTCCCCCATAGGCCTATTCCACTCTCAATTTAATGCAAAAATTGTTCAAAATGCCGCCCTCCTTCTCGTATGCAAAGTTCGGCCCTTCGAACAATATCACGAGTTGCACGGTGCGCCATATCTGGCGTAATGAGACCGAAGGTCGCAACAATGGCTTCGCGTACTTCGTCTTCCGTAGCTTGATGCCGATCTTCTTTTTATATGGCCCCATACAAAATAGTCTAAGACATTGAGATCTGGCGACCGTGCTGGTCAGATGATTGGACCATTACGACCCATCTATCTATCTGGAAAACGCGCGTTTAATATCTCGCGAACTTCTCGACTAAAGTGCGCAGGAGCTCCATCGTGCTGATAAATTATCCGCGTTCGTACGTGAAGTGGTACATTTTCGAGAAGCTCTATTAACACATTTTGCAAAAAATCCGCATAAATTTCGCCATTTAAATGCGGCGGAAGAAAATAAGGACCAATCTGAAAATTTTAAACGAAAATTTTTAGCCGCATTGAAGCCGCAATAAAAGAAAAATATTGCTTTAATTTTATAGTTTACTCTTACTATTTGGTTCCCGATTATTCCAGCCCATACATTTATGGACCAGCGAAATTGGAATGCGCCTTGACGAACGAGATGAGGATTTTCTTCTCCCCAATGTAAATAATTACGTGAATTAAATACACCGTTCGGAGTGAAAGTAGATTCATCGGTCCATAGAATAATGTCCGGGAAAGATAAATCCCGTCGACATTGCGCGAGAAATTCTGCGTATGATTTATCGAGAGTGTTTTACTGAATGTAATGTAAAAAATTACATAAAATATAAAAAATTTATGATGACAGTACCTTCACAAAAATTGATCCGTAGTTGAAAATCCCTCGGTAAAATGTGTTGCACACATTGATAATGATACCGGTGTAATTCGTTCACACGTACCACGTATCGCGAAAAACCAAATTCATATGCTACACGACGCACGCTAGTTCCAGGATTTTCGTAAAATGCGTCGAGAATCCTTTCTTTATCTCGTACATGAAGACGTATTCCTGAACCGGTTATCCCGACATTATGCACAAGACACCCAGTTTCATGTAATTGCTGCACAACACGTAAAATTGTACGTCCACTTTTGTGCACGCCCGGGAAATCGTTCCGCGTAAATTGCGGCCGCGCGACGAGTATTTTCTCCCGCTAGCTCGTATGCCACAATCATGTCCGTATATTCCTACAGAGTATACTTCATTTTCACTGGTAATTAACTGCGCGAACATAAGATTTTTACTAAGCGTCTTAGCTCTCGCACGTTGTTGCCAGACTGCGTACGCCAGCAGCACGCAACTACAGCTGAGCGGCCATGTGAGTGTAATCATAGTGCGCAGGCGTCGAACTCACACGTACGCTTACATTAACATGTCCGCTCAGCTGTCAGCTGTAGTTGCGTGCTGCTGGCGTACGCAGTCTGGTAACAGCGTGCGAGAGCTAAGACGTTTTAATAAAAATCTTGTGTTTGCGTAGTAAATTAACAGAGAAAATGAAGTGTACTCTGCAGGAATATACGGATATGATTGTGGCATACGGACTAGCGGGAGAAAATACTTATCGTGCGGCCGCAATTTACATGGAATCATTTCTCGGGCGTGCACGAAAACCAAGTGGCCGTACAATTTTACGTGTTGTGCAATAATTATGTGAAACTGAGTGTCGTGTATAATATCGGGATAATCGGTCCAGCAGTGCATCTTCGTGTACGAGATGAAGAAAGGATTCTTGAAGAATTTTATCATCGTATCACATTATCAACGTGTGCAATACATTTTATCGAGAGATTTTCTACCACGAATCAATTTTTGTAAAGGTACTGTCCATTAATTTTTTACATTTACGATATATTCAGCGTATAGTAAATGGCATTTTGAATAATTTTTAAATTGAGAGTGGAATAGGCCTATGGAGGAAACCACTATAAAAAAAGCGCACCATGCTATCTACCGCAAGGTGGTGTGGAAATGATAGCGCATCATTTTCTCGCCACGAAAAGGGGGGACGGGTCATTTTTCGGCGCATTATTGCGATATATCGCAAATCACCATCATGTCTCGGAGAGCGACCCGCCCACCGCTTCACCGCGCTCGTAGTATCGGATTACGGTGGGATGACTCTCGTCGCCGCGCACTTTTACTCACGCAGATTGGCCGATCTTTTTTATTTAATATTTCGTTAATTATTGCGACAATCCCAAAACAATACAGGTCATTCCTTCTTAATTCGAGCCAATCTACTTATTTATTTCATTAAGGTTGGAAATCGACGGACACCCTGTATATATATATATATATATATATATATATATATATATATATATAGATAGATAGATAGATAGAAGTTTATTGTTTCCCTTTTCGGTATACAATGGCGCTTTTCAAGGGAGTGTTCCCGAACCCTGTACAACACCTGCTCCCCCTATCCCCTCCGACCTGACCATTGGGCAGCCATACAATCTAACACCCCTCCCTCCCCTCGGCCACCCCTCACCATTTCCCTCTGCCTCCCCCCCTGTTAACACCTCTCCTCCTCTAATCCTCCACATTTCTCCTTTCTATTTCGCCTCATGTCCTCTCCTTCTCCTTCCCTTCTTCCGCTTTTACCCCGCCACAACCTCCTTCTTCCTCCTCTCCACCGCACGGGGCTCTCTCCTTTTCCTTTTGCTCCTCTTCCTCTCCCCTAATCCTCACTACCCTTCTCCTCCTTTGTCTCTCCTTTCGCATTACCTCCACCTTCTTATCTGAAACAAATCTAACTACAAAACCCTGACCTTTCCCTCCTCCTCTCTACATATTCCCCCACTCATTTTTCCCTCCCCCTGTCCCCCTATCACAGACCTTACCATCTCTCATCATCCTTTCCCCTTTCACCTCAATCTCTGCGTCTTCCCCTTTCTACTCCCCCTTTTCCATTTCCCCCCTGATCCTCCCCCTTTCATCTCCTATCCTTCAAATTCCCCTACTCCTCCTTCTCACTCATATCTCTCTTCCGCGCTTTCCTCCTCCGAACCCTCTGACCCCTCCGTCCACCTGTCCTCCTCTGCATCCCACCGCCAAACCTCCCCGTTCACCCACATCTTCCTGTTCCCTACCACTACCTCGTTCCCCCTTGCCTTCTTTTTCCTCGCCCTTTCCACTAGCCTCCACCTAACTTTCCTCTCCTCCATTGTCAGATCTTCGTCTACTCCTATCCTCCAGTCCCTGTTTATCCTCTCACCTCTCTCTAAAATCCCTTCCCTATCCCTCTTCTTTGCCATCCTTACTATTAGTACCGTGCCCGCCGTCCCTCTCCTTTCTACTACCTCTCCTACCTCCACCTTCCTTCCTAGTTCCACCTCCATTATTCTCTCCATTATCCTCCTCCTCTCTTCCGCACTACCTCCATCTATCCCTCTCCACACTAAATTCATTCTCTTCTCTCTCCTCCTTCTCCTCTCCTTCTCTCTTTCCTTCTCCTTCCTCTCTGCCTCTCTCCTTTCCCTGCTCCTCCTCCTCATGTCTCTCCTTTCTTCAAATCTTCTCCATGTTTCTTCCATTTTTACCCTGTCCTCTTCTTCCTTCCTCTCTTCTCTCTTCTTCTCTCTCTCCTTCTTCCCATCTTCACCCCTCTCCTTCTTTTTCTTCTCTTCCTCGACCACCAGCTCCCACCATTCTTTCCTACAACTTTCCTCTTCTAAATTCTCTCCTTCCCACTTCCTCTCCGACTTTCCTACTTGCCACCTCCCCCTCCTCTCTTCCATATTCTCTACCTTCCCTCCCCTCTTATCATTCCTCCCTCCCCCGTCCTCTTCTGTCTGCACTCTTTCCTCCACTTCAGCTTCCTTTCCTCCCTTCCGCTCCAGCCTCCTCCTTTCCTGCTTTCGATCTACCTCCACTTCTTCCTTCCCGTCCGACCTATGCCTCCTGTTCTCTTCCCCTCTGTCCTCCCTGCCATCCTTCGCTCCTCTCTCTTCTTTCCGAGTTCCTGTCTCTTCCTCCTTCTGAAAAAACTGCGCCTCCGTCCTCACCTCATCATTCCTCTTGTCTCCCTCCCGCTCCACCTTCCTCCCATTCCTCTCCGCCTCTCCTCCATCTTCTCACCGCACTCCTCCTTCCTAACCCCCTCATTCTTCTCTTTCTGTCCACACTTCTCCATCCTCTCTAACCCACTCACCACTACCTTCATTAGCCCCACCATCTCCTCCATCACCCTCCTTATCTCCCTCAGCTCCTCCACCACACCATCACACCTTCCAGCCATTTTCACCGATCCTTCTCGCCACACGTGCTATCATCAATCACCATCTTCTTATCGATCTGTCGATTTGTCGATCCTTCCTTCGATACTACTGCCTTCGCGCGCCATCTACTTTCTTTCCTTCTCTCTACCTCGTCCGCCACTCTTCTACCCCCAGCGCCCTCTCTAATCTCCACTTCCTTAACTCTGTCCTACCGTACCATTTCCTCCCATCTACCGCACTCACCCCTCATCCTCCACTCTTTCCCCCTTTCCACACTCTTCCTTACTCAGCACTTTCTTCTCACATTTTCCAACTCCTTCGTTCTTCTCCTCCACCCTTCTCCCATCACAACCTCCATGCTCTCTTGATCCTCGATCTCTCCCCTCTCCCTCCTCCAACTCTCACACTTCCGTTACTCCTCCATCCTCCACTCTTTCCACTTTCACTCCACTACTCTTTTCCGGCCTGTCTCTCCTCCAACCCAACATGGCCACCCTCTATATATATATATATATATATATATATATATATATATATATATATATACGAGTATATATACAGGGTGAGGCAAAAGTATGGAAACCCCTAAATTTTTCGAAAACTATGCATTTTAGAAACAAATGTTTCAGACAAAGGTTGTAAGGTTTCAAGTAATGCATTACGTAGCAATATCAGTGTAACCTTGAATAGCACCGTCAAGGTCACATAAAAATCACTTTGAATTTTTCAAATGGAATCCCCTATTTTTCATTGCATATTCTTGTAGCTTATCTCAAGAGTTTTCCAAAACACTATAATTAAGTACCTTTTTATTGAATACTTTCTGAGTTATAAGACTTGAAATCATTTCTTAATTTTACATAAACCATAAAATATCTAGTAAACCATTCATTTTTCGATTATCTTACCTTCATACTTTTATGTACAAAATAATGAGAGGAATCAATTGGTGTAAAGAAAACACATAGTTGTTTCTAAGAAAAAATATGTAATTTGCAATTAACAATTCCATATTTTTTCTTAAAAACAACTGTATGTTTTCTTTACACCAATTGATTCCTCTCATTATTTTGTACATAAAAGTATGAAGGTAAGATAATCGAAAAATGAATGGTTTACTGGATATTTTATGGTTTATGTAAAATTAAGAAATTATTTCAAGCCTTATAACTCAAAAAGTACTTAATAAAAAGGTACTTAATTATAGTGTTTTGGAAAGCTCTCGAGATAAGCTACAAGAATGTGCAATAAAAAATAGGTGGTTCTATTTAAGAAATTGAAGATAACCTTTATGTGACCTTCAAATGACTATTCAAGGTCAAATTTTTGCCATCCATCTTCTGTCCCCCTCGAAGTCAAGCAACTTTTATTTGAAACATTTTATTGTACATTCAAATATAAAAAAGTTATTGGGGTGGATAAATTAAAATGGCTCACCCTGTATATATATATATATATATATATATATATATATACATATATATTATAATGTAGTGAAGTTAGGCATTTGTCAATAAAATTGTGTGCGCAAAGATTCATTTTTTGTGAAAAAGATATTTTCTAAATCTATTTAAAATGAAACGTGATAAATTATTTTTTCGACATGTACTTTTTCACTACTTTGATTTAAATAAAATTGCAGAAACAATTACGGTTGACCGTTACCAATAACAATTATACCGATTGAATGATTAATTGATGCAAAAAATGCTAGTAATCGACGTAAAGTGATTCTTTTGCATGACAATGTGCAACCTCATGTTGCAAAAATCGTAAAAGAAACACTATTGGGACTCAAATACGAAGTTCTTCCGCACCAGCCTATTCTTCAGATTTGACCCCATCGGATTATCACCTTTCCCGATCAATACAATATGTGCTCGCCAATACACACTTCTCCAATTACGAAGAAGTGTAAAAATGCATCGATCAATGGATTGCTTGAAAGAACAAGTCGTTCTATCATCACGAAATTCAACTTTTGAAAAAAAGATGGAAAAAACTCATAGAAAACAATGGATTAAATTTTGATTAATTCATTTTCTTATTGAAATAAATGCATTTTTTAAAAAACCGCAGAAACTTAGTTATACACCTAATATAATCTTTTTTCTCCCAGAGCATTAATAATAGATTTCTTTCTTGATTGAATAGACAGAAGAAGAAAGAGAATGGTTTGCCGAGATGGTGGAAACAACTTTAAACGAGCCATTAGATGATGAAACATGTAAAACAATAGCTATAGAAATGCTTAAAAGTCAAGTATTTGATAATTTTTTGGCCATAAAATTTGTTAGTCTAAAGAGATATGGAGGAGAAGGAGTCGAAAGTATGATGGCCTTCTTTCACGAATTGTTTAAATTATGTGCTTATGGTAATTAGAAAATATTTAGATAAATCAAATATAATTGCATTCACAATAATTTGATTGCACGATAGTGCAAAAAAATAGTTTTTTTTTCTATAAAAACATTGAAAACATTTTTGAGAATACTTTTTTACTGAGGTTCAAATTTTCATTCTTTTTAATAAATTGTTCTTCAATATCAACAGCATATATCATACAAAGATTTTTTTAATTGCTATAATATCATTTTTAGATAATTTGGAACACGTCATCCTTTGTGCGGCACATCGTGGCCGCCTTAATTTATTAACCGGGCTATTAAATTTTCCACCAGAAAAATTATTTCGTAAATTACGGGGATTCTCTGAATTTTTGGATACAACTAAATGTACCGGAGATGTGATTAGCCATCTTATAAATTCCACCAAATTCAATATAGAGCAAAGAAGCTTTCATGTGTCCATGCTTCGAAATCCTTCACATTTGGAAACAGTAAATCCGGTGTCAATGGGTAAAACACGAGGAATTATGCAAGCAATTCAAGAAGCTGCGTATGGAAATAAAACTGGGCAATGGAGTGATAAAGTTCTAAATATTCAAGTAAGAAATATAAAAATACACACATACACATACACACATGCATGTATATATACGGAGTCTCCAAAAAGTCTCGGAACGCTAAAATATCTCGAAAACATATATATATATATATACAGGGTGATTCAAAATAAGTATATTGTCCGTGAAATGACACATTTTTGAGTCAATTCTAAGACGATTTTTCCTTTGGCAAAATTTCGTCCGACGCTTAGTTTTCGAATTATTAAAAGAAGTAATTAACTTATAACGGGTCGAATACAAGAGGCAGGCAAGGGTGACGCGAATCATCGTCAGACGCGGGTGCTTACGCGGGGCGATCGCTGCGATTAGCTGGTCGCTACTAGAGTTTCCAATCCCGAAGACGATTTATAATCCCGGGATTTCGGGATATTTTGTATTATATCCCGGGATCCTGGGATCAATCCCAGGATCATGTACAGGAGAAAGTTGGATAATACAGGGTAGGCGAGTCAAAAAACAAAAAAACAGTTTATTAGTTTATTTAGTAAAAAAAATTGCCCCACTTTCCCTTATATATAAAAATAAGAATATAATTTTAATTTATAATTTTATTAATGTAATTAAAAACAGAATAATATATATATATATATATATATATATATATATATATATATAAAATTTATATTATTAATCAAATATCCAACATTAACTATTAATAAGAATCTTTTAATAGAAAGTTAAAATCAAACAAAACTTATTAAAATAAACTAACTTATTAAAATAAAAACTTATAACTTATTAAAATAAAATCTCATACAAGTAAAATAAAATCACATACAAGTAAAATAAAATTTAACGTTATCTTTTTTACGTAAAAATTAGAAATTATGAATGTAAACGCAACTCACAAATAAAGATAATTTTTATAAATTTTACAATAATTAAAACCTAAAATAAAAAATATAATTTCTATTAAATTAGAAATGAAAGATATAACTTTTACTAAAAAATTACTTTTTACAAGAAATGAAATATTTATAAACTATATACCTATATATCTAGTCTATATATCTATAGAACTATATATCTAGTCTATATACTTAATGTATATAGACTAGATATATTATAAAATATAATCTTAGTTTAGTAGTAATAAAAAAAACAATCTATAATATTAAAATCATTAAATAAAATTAAAATCAGTCTTGAAAATAAAATTATAAATAAAACTAAAGCTTTTAAAATTAAAAATCAAGATCTTATTTCGTTCTTTGGTTTTGAAAAAATGATCTTAAAAATAGTAATGCATCTAAAGTTGCATCCCCAAGTTGACTTCTGATCTTAGTTCCAATACATCCAGCTGCTGAAAACGCTCGTTCAGATTCCACACTTGTTGGAGGTATTGACATTAAATATTGATATGCCAAATCAAGATGATGCCCTCTTTTCCCAACTGATTCAAAAAGAGCCATTTCTTTTTTTAAGGTTGACATTAAATCATTTAATTTTTGAGTTTCTGGTTTTATTACTTGCATACTTTTTTCTATTTGTTGCTGAAATTTTTCTTTTAAAGTTAATGGCTCTTTTTCTATTATTTTTGGCTCACTTTCGTTTTCTGCGTTGCTATATGTTTTTTTTGCAATAATTTTCATTAGCGTTCAATCTTTCTATAATTTTTTTTAATTGTTTTCTAATAATTATTTGGCTAGGCAAAGGAAATAATTGAAATTCCTCTTCATCATTAAATGCGGGTTTATGTAAATATTGTAAAACTCCGGACAATTCTTCTTTACGTCTTTGGCTTATTCTAGTCTTCAAAGCTTGAAATATATTTTGAGCTAAATATGATTGTTTTTTGGATATCTCAGACATAAGGAGTTTAAGAACTGCATCTGCCGTACACAAATTTGCATCTCGACGACATAATGCCTCCACAGTTAATTTCACTGGAGTAAGCACGTCTATTATATCAGCAATTATATTAAAATCATCTTCCTCAAATATTATAGGAGATTTTAAATCAATCAAAGCTTTTTGTATGCATGTTTTCAAAAAAAGGAATCGTTCAAGCATTATTAAAAGAGAATTCCATCGTGTTTTACAATCTAAAAGGAGAGATAACTCTTTTCCCTTTTCTGCTTTCACATATTTTTGTAAAATAGAATCGTTTTTTGTTGAAGATCTCTTGAACAAGACAACAGTTTTACGTATTTTCTTCACTAGCTTGTTAATATTAATCTCATTCTGACTTGATAATTCAATATCTTTGTAAATAGATTCAAAGTCTAATCCCATCTGCGGATTTGTAAAATCTTCATCAACATCATCATTGCTACTGTAACAATCGTCTTCTATTTGTGAGGCAACTATTTCATTTGTTAGAGTTTCCGATATTGTAGTGTTTAGTTGTAATTCTTTATTTTTATTGTAAAGAACATCACAAACAGCTAGGTGTATACCGTGTGCTAGGCACAAATGATGTTCAGTTTCTACTATTCTTCCAACTTTTAGCATTATGTTAGGGCCATCTGTAACTATAGCAACTATGTCTTTTGTAAGTGAGATGCTGTGTTTATACAAACATTGCTCTAAAATATCTTTACATCTTTTGGCAGACATAGATCCGTGAATACGAATAAGACCCAAACTCCAAAATTTCTCTTTGCAATGTACATTAATATTCATATATCTTTTATTAGCTGTGGATGTCCATTCGTCAAAAGTTAATGAAAAACGCATTCCCTTTGCTTTGTATTGACATATTTCTTTAATTAGACGTTCTCGTATTTGCAATGAATAATTCACAACTCTATTACGTATAGTAGTGACAGAAGTAGGTAAATCATTATAACCTCTTGATATCAAAAGTTGTCTTAAATCTTGTGAAGTAACAAATAGATTAAACGACAATCCATCTAAAGCAGTCATCCGAGCTAAAATTACATCGCATGAAGATTTTTCAGAAGGTAGGAAATAATTGGAGATTTTTCGTTTCATTGGTGGCACTTCAACTTCACTGTCATTTATATTACTTGGTCCAGGCAAGTTTGAAGTGTTATCATTAATCTTTTTGTTATGTTTAGACATTAAATGAGTATGTAAACCTTTTGTACTGCCACCAAGGGTCTTTAACACAGCGTTACACTGTTTACAGTTTGCTGTTTTTCCATCTACAGCTTTTAAATAATAATACCATACAGATGTATCACATTTATCTTTTTTATGTGTAATATACGTAACATCTTGTTGTTCCATGTTTTACGAATTAAAATTAGTTTTTATATTTAATGTAAAAAGACTGGTAAAACGAGTACGTATTTGTTCTAACCTATAATTGTATACTGACAAATACGCGCTAGCGACATGATCATTTGATTATGCTGCCACCTGCCGCTTGCCACCGATAATTTACGGGTGCCGGTTATGTTATACGTACGCTTAAAAATTCTAAATAGTGAATTTTATAATCCCGAAAAATCCCGGGATTTGTAATGTTGAATCCCGAGTATTTTCGTAAATTTGACCGGGATCCCGGGATCCCGGGAACCGAGATCCCGGGATTGGAAACCCTAGTCGCTACATACACACACATGCGAATACATAATTCTCATTCTTTCTCTCCCTCTCTCTCTCTCTGCCCCTCACTCTCTGTCTCTCTCATTTGCTTATTCGAAGTTATTATTACTTTTACTAAAATTATTATTTACTTTTTATTGTTACACATTTTCACTTTAATTATTTTTTATATTATACCGTTTTTTTTTTTTTTACGAGAGAGGGGAAAATGCATTTTATGCATACTCACCGGGCGATTCGGTAAGTTATGTGGGACTCGAATACCAAGTCTATTACCAACTCGGTACTCCCTACCCATTAAAAATCCCTCTCTTTCGCTAATTTTCTCTAACACTGTTTATTTGACATCCCGAAATTTGTTTTGCACACAACACCAAAGAATAGTTATTATTATCTTGTTCGATATATTGCTGTAATTTTTTGAGAAATGAGTTTTCCAATAGATCGTACTTTTACTCAAATTGAACGTAGATATCACGTTGTAACGGTCGTATTTTCGGGCGTTTTTCGCAACGCAGATAGATCGCCGGTGCAAGGTTCGTGAAAATGAAAATACGCGATGTGTTCAGTTTAACGTGTTTTATTTTAATAACGTGTGTGTATGTACAGAGTAGGTGTGTGTGTATGTGTGTGTGTATGTGTGTGAGCGTGTGTGTGTGCGTGTGAGCGTGTGTGTGTATAATATTTGTGTATAATATTTGTGTTGTCCGATTAACTACGCGACAATAAATGCAGCTTTAATTTCGGTCTCGATCTCGAACGCCGGCTTGTGTTTATGAAGCGCGAGACGGCGCGTGTTTTTGCAGCGCTTTTTTCGCGAGGGATTCCGATGCTCCGAAAATCTCGAGTTCTCGAAATCGACAAGTATTTTCACGGAACTATTTATTTCTCGGCGCCGCGATTTAAAGTCCGCGTTCGGTTGATTACAATCTATGCGCTTTAATAACGGCGGCGGATGTCGTGATCCTAAAATACGCAGAGCGTTTAAAACGACGGTATCGGTGAAAACAAATGTATGCGCTCAGCGGTGGTTTGAGCGCGCGGTATAGGATCGTGTCGCGAAGGATGGATTACGCGATGCAGCTGGATCGAAAACACTCGATCTGAGGCGGCTCAGAGCTCCACCTTTTGTGAGAGTTCAGCTGCGGATCAGGTGGATTGCACTTGTGCGTCAGAAACGAGATCACTCGTTTGAGACGGAGCTCGCTCCACCTTTTGTCTTCGGCTACTTGTGCTTTTAATAGGATTTTCTGGATTGCTGCTGAAGCGTATTGCTTAGAGCGGATCAGGAAAATGTAATTAAACCTCGAAATGTGGCCTTTTTTATACGAGCTAATTGCCCGCGTCGGCGCGCAGGCGGTATACCCCTTCCGAACAGGTTTTCGGAAAACGATACGGTCGGGCCCGTTCGGAGGGGATCGGGTCTGAGCCGAACGCGGGCTTTTGCCGGTCGGCGGTCCGGG